GATTTACATAAACTTTAAAGACATGTCCAGAAGCGTAACGGTAGGTGGTGTGACAGCTAAGGCACTGGGTCCCACATGGCTGACTCCACGGTTTGAGTTCCAGACTGATAGCCTGAAAAATACTCCATGCACTTGGCGTACATGCTCAAAATCCTGACGAGAATGGAGGAGAAAGGATTGCTGTGTGGCTGCTCCCCCGGGAATGATTTCACCTCTGTCTCTGTCCCTCTGCCCTATGACCAAGAACACCCTTCAAACTTGAACTTTATAGGCACCAGCTGTTGGCGTAATGGCTGTCGCTGGACTCCCACATAGTCGACCGTGGTTCGTGTCCTAGACCCGGTGGCTTAAAACTCACGCTGGGTGCGCGTGTGTGCGTGCCCAAGATCTCGAGAGAATGGAGGAGAAGGGATTGTGGCAAGGCCATCTCCCCTGGAGGGTGATTTCTTGCTTTCTGTCTCTCTGTCTCTGTCTGTCTGGCTAGCGCACACGCCCTATAAAAAAAAAAACTTTATATATGCACATTCAGGATAGGACAAAGTGCTGGCTGTACGGTTGGAAGCCACAGTGGGCCTAAACCGTATTGGTACAGTCATGAGTCCTACATCTGTGGTAGAGACCTGGCTACATTGTTCTGTATAGCTTTTTGGTTTCTAGGATTTCAATAAAACCTTTTTTTCCTTAATAAAATTAAAGTTTGTTTCTAACTGTTTTTAAATTAATAATTTTTTTTGAAGAGGTTTTTGCTATAGGGCGTGTGCGCTTGCTAGACAGAGAGAGACAGAGAGACAGCGAGAAATCACCCCCCAGGGGGGGATGGCCACACCGCAATCCCTTCTCCTCCATTCTCCTCTCGGGATCTTGGGCACGCACACACATGCGCCCAGCGTGAGTTTTAAGCCACCGGGTCTAGGACACGAACCACGGTCGACTACGTGGGAGTTCAGCGACATAGCCATTATGCTAACTGCTGGTCCCATAAATTAATAATTTTTATTGGGACCAGCAGATGGCATAGCGGGTACATCGCTGGACTCCCACAGTCAACCGCAGTTTGAGTCCTGGACCCAAGGCCTTAAAACTCACACCAAGTGCATGTGCGTGCGTGCCCAAAATCCCAACAGGAGAATGGAGGAGAAAGGATTACGGCGTGGCCATCCCCCTGGGGGGTGATTTCCCACTTTCTGTCTCTCCGATGAGTGCATGTGCCCTATAGCAAAAATTTCTCTTAGAAAAGTAAATTCTACTAACTTGGGAGTTATTACAGTGTGGTTTTTTATTTTAATTTAACTTTATTTAGCATTATTATTTTTTTCCAGTTTGATCAGAGAGAGGGAAAGTGAGAAAGCAAGCTACCAGGTCTGAGACTTGAACCGCGGTCAGCCATGTGAGAGTCCAGCACTTTTTTTTTTTTTAAGAATTATTTTATTTGGGACCAGCAGTTAGCGTAATGGCTATGTGCCTGGACCCCCCCGTCGTCACCCCGGG